CACGTGTGGCTGCCTTCGAATAATGATTTATCGCGGGGTGCCAAACCGCTCGGCAATGTTTTGTTTGTCCTTTATTATCCGTGAACATAGTGCTCTCACCTCGAATACCTATCTGAAAGGACGCTTATATAATACCTTTATGTAACTTTGTGAAAAGTAAAATACCTGAGTGCGTGAAAGTTGGTAGTAAACAGTAAATAGTGTATATCATTGTGTACATTGAACTTGAATCTAGATAATTGTTCCATAAAAACCAGAAAAGTATGTTCCAATATTGATAAAAGGACATTGAAGTACACTTCTCCGGGTTTAACTGCATAAAATTAATTTAAAACAATAAGCAAACAAAACAAAGTGAATAATAAACACTTCAAAAACAAGTCGGAGCGTGTTCTTTTATAATTTAAACAGTCGTAATAATGGGAATGCCGTCCGAAAGTTACTTTCGATGAAAGTGAGATGTGTTTATGTGAATGATGGTGAGTGCGAGAGAGAAAGAAGTCAGGGTCGTACGGATTGGCGTGCGAGAGGGCAGTATCGGCGAACGGGGCAAGTTCGGATTTAATTATCGGGACAGCGACGTGCACCGCGCGACGACGGAATTCCACATTTAGAAAGTGTTTCACTTCACTGTTTGTACTTACTGCTCAACTTATTCTAGTGCATAAGCAAGTACACATACAGGTTAATGAACACTTTGTGATCTTTCATACATTTCAGTAGGTTAACGTTCAGGTTCCCGGTTTTATTTGACAAAGTCTATAATAATATGCAGTGTTAAAGCTTTAAGCCCAAAAATGTTCTGTTTCACTGAAAATAAATTTAATGAAGCCTTAAACACAAATACTTCGCAGAACTGTTTCTTACACGTTTTATATTTACAATGTTATTTAAGAGCGGACCGGAAAACGCAATAAATCGTCATTTTATTGAGAGAGCCTGACTGTACATTGGTACAAGGTACAATAAAATTGTTCATTTAATTTTGATGTCAGTTTAAAACCGTCACTCAAACTACCGTAAAACGGAACCACTTCCATACTTTTATGTCTTGACCACACTCACTTTAACTCACTCGGTAAATATGGTCGCACCGTCACGCCATTTCGCTTCAAGATCGTTTCATGGGATAATTTCAGTAAACGTTTTCCTAATTCTACAAGTATTTAGTTTCGTGTTTTCTGACTTTCTACAATCAGTTGTTTGGTAAACTGAAAACTGAAAAGGTTTAATTCAATTTCCGAAGCAAGTAAGTTTATTTGAAAACTGTATGGTTAACTGGATTTTCCTTATGAAATTGTAATTCTAACAAAAATATTGTACTGAGTACCGTATTTTGTCTTATACTATAAATCAGTAAATCCATTGCGCAATGGTGGAAATCCTGTAACTTTATAAGTACGTACTGAATAACGAAATAAACAGTTTGGGGCGAATGAAGTGAAAATGTTGAAAATTGTGCGTTTAAAAGCGAAAGGTTTAAAACGAAAAGTAAAAAGTGTCGTAAAGTTTTATTGTAGGCGGAGTCCTTTATCTAAACAATACACCTGGAGAGAGTTACGCGGCCACAGGGCTGCCACACAAACACTTTCATTATACAAACCAAACTATAGTATGCTTCATAGTTTCGTTTGGAATGCGTTTGTTAACATAACATGCAGTAACTGTTTATGGCATTCTCTTATAATATAATAGAGTATTTCGCTTCTGAAGTATGTTGAAATTGAAATTACCAATTATCATCGGTAATATTACTTTACAGGAGAAAATCACTATTAATTAAATTTGTCGCAGCCTAGCTCCTCGGGTATCCGGGGCCGGCGGTAATCACTTACAATCAGTTGATACGCCTGTTCGTGTTCTCGTACTATCCAATAAAAAAAAAATTCGTCACCTATTTACAGGTCTGAATGGGCCATCGCCATCCCTATCTCGAAAGAAAGCTTGCAATAAATCGCATGTTATCTGCGCGCGTCACATGCCGCGGCCGCCGCGTGCCCGCGCGCACTAAACACTTTAATTGCCAAGTAATTCATTAAATATTTTCACCTTATTCCGACTCTTATAAAAACCAACTTAAATACTGCTTAATTGCCGCTCGGATTTATTGCAAGAAGTATTTAATGTACTCTAAACTCGCTACCACGTGTTTTAAGAAATAATTAGGCTAAATTGTAAATACCTTCGTAGTATTAGAGTTAAATACTGTATTTTGAGGCCAGGACTAATAATTAAGCGGCCATATTACGAGTAAAATAAGTAAATATAAGATTAGTTAACCTAAACGTTTAAAACCCTCTCAATATTATGTAAAATTTATTTTGAACTGTTCAATTTACCAACGAAAAATTTATAAACTAAGTAACTTATAAAAACGTAGTGTAGGTAAACCATTATTTTATTTTAATAGTACAAGACTACTGCCCTATTTTACTAACGGTGTAACGGTGTAACTCTTAAATATTAAACAATCCTTAGATAAGGCAGGTGACATTTGGCGACAGTTTCATTTGCACCAATGGATAAGTGACACCTATTGATGTAAGCGAATCAGGTAAGAGAGGTGAATTTAAGTGCTCTCTTGTACTACGTAACTATTAATTAAGAGATGGTAAACAGTGACCAGCAGTGGAAGAATCGAATTCAAAAAATGGTCGACAGTCCAGCCAGGCTATTGATTGTCACAGTTGTGAACAAAATGAAATACAAAGTCATAATATTTGCCACAAGCCGCATTGTTTTCTCATTTTCCCAAAAGAAAACGAGATAAAAAGTAAAAGTTCAAGATTATCCTCGAATACGGATGTAATAATAAGTTGGAATTTTTCAAGTGTCATTAAGAACGTTTACCTGTCGAAGAGCGTCGATAAAAGTGGAAGTTGTCGGGAGTGTCGCGGCGTAATCATTAGCGGCGGCGATAAGTTGCCGAATTTTATCGCCAGAGGAGCCAGCGCCGCCGGCTTCAATGAGTTTGGAACTCAGGGACGCTCACACTTATCTAACTTGTATTGATTCAAGTAATTGTTTAATTGTTATATTTAAACTGAGAACCAAAAAGGAGTTTCTGGTTCACGTAATTTTACGATAGCTAAATGTAATGTTTTCAATAACTTTATCTTTTGGTATACTTTTCTTCCCAGCAGACAGGCATTAGTTTTTATTCAGAAAATAGTGCATTAAGGTTTGTATTACATACATCCCAGCATTATGTAACTGAATATGATCCTCATTTGGAAAACAAACATGTTGCGGCATAAGTAGCTGGTGGTTCGTTCACAAGGTATCATTACTGACGGAGCGCCGCGCCAGGCCGGGAGCCCGGGCCGTTTAGCGCGCCTAATAATACATCACTCACGATATTGATAGCTTTAGCTCAACAACACTTTGTTTATAACACCCACACTCTCTGATTGATTGTTCCAACGTGATGGATTTATTTTTAACTCGCAGGTATTAGACTTTAAGTGCTTTTAATGTGTTTAAAAAATTATAGGTTTGTGTTTGATAAGTTAAGGTATCATGCATTAAGATAAAAAACTTAATATGAACGTCTTCAAAGCGGTTGCTATCCGTTAACGATATTATTTATGTTGCTATTTCTGTATAAAATATCCACATGCAATATATCAATATGACATTGGGTATAAAAGTAATTAGATATCTCCTATTATGGTGTTTGCCATAAATTCATCCTACGAATGAAGCTTTCCCATAACAAGCACAATACAAACACATGGTGAATCAACTTTTTAATTCAAGTTTGTGTCCAAACCGGTAGACAATGTAGATACATTATCATAAACACAATATTTTAGCGCGACATTGTCACAGCGCGCGCTCGCCCATCTCGCGCACAAATAAAGCGATACACTTCGCATTTAACATATTTTTATGTGTACACGTTGTACGTGTATATTACCATAATTATTGTCACCGCACAAGCTGCACTATTATCATAACTACTGGAAATTACTTTAAGCTGGAAACCGCTCCTTTAATACCGACCACCATAGTCAGAGACGGAACATGTTATTATATCGAATGGCATTTTACTAAACCAGTTTAGGCTTGAAATAGTTTTAACGATTCTTAGATCTTTTACCAATAGCTGTTGACCTGTTTTATGATTTTTTACAATAATCAGTTGATGACCTGTAGTACAAACTTGTTGCACAATATTAACGGTTCTGTCATTGATGTTATAAAAAACCTACCAATAGGGTAGATGACTAATTTTTATTTTAATGTCCGTCTGGTAGATTATTTTAAAACATTAGACAAATATGTTTTTACAGAAACGAATACTTTCGACGATATATTGATTTGAAATGTCGCCCGACGTCACTTCTTTGTACATTTTATACGTAGAAATGACGTTTAAGCCTCCACTCCTAAACTTTGATTCGATATATCTAAGTATCATTTTATTATACATCAAAATAAAAAAATACGTGTCTAATATTTTTTCATTACCTACCTAACTGACGGATTAATTAGTTTTTAAATTTTCATACACTGTCATCATCCCTATTATTATTCTGAAACTCTCGTAATGTTTTAACCAGTGTTAGTTGTCTGCAAAATATTTGTAATGAGAGCAGTAGTTAGAAGTAGTAAGAACACAACAGTGTACTCTAAAGTTTTAAAACAAGGGAAGCACAAATCACGGTGAGGCAAGCGTCCTAGTCCTAGCTCCCGGTGTAGGCGGCGCGCGGCGCGCGGCGCGCTGGGGTAGTAAATCATTGCTAATGTTCACCTGCACGCTGTAATAGCTCGCGTGCTGCACAAGCAACAGATATTAAACGCGAGCCATCGAGTGCTACACCACTCCACATGAAACATGCGGGAGCTGCACGGTATTAGAGAACCAGGGCTAATCTGGTAGCAACGTTTATTAAATAGTTTATGTTAAAATATAGGTACTTGAAGAGTGATACTTTAAAATACTTATTATAATGTAAATGTGTAGATTAGAAAAGTAACATTGTAGTGATTCTCACCCAGAGCGGCGCGGAGGGCTGCAGCTGCGACGCGAACGCCATTCGGAAAGCATCTCCCACCAACGAGTTCAGTTCCTCCGCCTGAAACAACACACAAACACATTTATAACGTGTACATGTCGAGTAATATCACTGAGAGGAGGTCTGACAATAATTCATTAACGTTCAAAAGCTATTACTATAAAACACCGAACATAATCCGTAACTTGTATAGAAGGCTCGCTGCAACCAATGTAAACTTTCTGTAATGGAGGCAGGCGGGACGTTACTATTACAATATTTTACTTTCCATGATATTTTCTGTTAGGAACCGCTACCTGAACAGTGAGCTCATTACTTTTTACTCGTACTGGAGTACTACAAGCGCTCGCTGCAGTGTAGTTGATGGCGTGCACTGCGGCGACTATTACTATAAACAAGACATAGCATTTTTCCGAAGGCTGAGCGGCAAGTTTTAAGTGAGTCTGCCGCTATTGCGACCACTAGTCTACCACCCCCTACTTGCGCCCAACTATTACCACTTAGAAGAAAACGCAGAAGTTTTACGACACAGACGAATAGTTTGTTACATTCACGAGGAGTGCACTGCTGTTTGCTGCACTTTCATTTTATTTGTTTCACCACAGAAACCAGCTAAACTTACACAGACGTCTATTATTCATTCCAGTTAATACTTGATTGTTGGCCGCGTAATACTCAGTAGGGTTGTACCAAATATATTCGGTTTACGAGTTTTGTTTATGAGCTCGCAGGGCATTGACACTGAAATGTATTATTTATGAAGTTTTACTGTTTCATTGTTATTACAAAAAAAGATGATGATATTGTAAGCACCGTAATTTTACGGAAATGTCGAATGAAATATTATTATATCACCTCTCGTCTACCTCTTACTGGAGTTCTGCAGCTGTAATATCCTCCATGCTCGGAATATTATTTATGGTGCCTATTGAACCACAGCCGGTAAGGAGCTGAGGCGGAGTCGCGAGGCAATGTGTTCGAGTTAATCGGAAAAGTCTCGATTATATTACCCTCACAATAGTGAGCCGATATTGAAACGAGATGCACAATATGGAAGTAAGTTCCACACTCCACGCTCCCCCGCGTGCCAGTCGATGACAGTGTGCTGTTCAACAACTTGTTGTGTGAGATGAAACTTTTCCACTGTGAAGGGATCATTTCTATTGGTTTGGTTTCAATGCGTTTTCATTCAATAATCTGTTATGAGGACGAGTCTTAATAAAAAAAATCACATTTCCAATAGATTGTTGCGAGAAACACTTTTAACTATTTAAATAAATACCTATGTATGTAGACATTTACTTAGAGTACGTACAAGATAACGCTACCGTCAAAGACACCGTTTGTAAGTAAACAATCATAAAACACGTTCCCAAATATTCACAACCAAATATGACGCTAAAGACAAACTAGCATGGAACTTACGTGCCGGTGTATGGTCAGTAAACATTCTTTAAACAATGATCAAATATAGACTTTATTGAAATTGATACAGAGTTTATTTTTGGCTAGAGTGTGATATAAATAGTAAAGCTCGGTGGGTGTGACCGATATGTGAGAATGATAGCCGTCAAGCGCCCACGACACAGATTGATAAACCCGGCGACACACACAGAATACGAAGCTATGGCGAGGTAGAGCTACTCACCATACGGCTTGGAAACAACGACTAATGTTAGTGCTGTCTATATGAAGCTCTACAATGTAGACATTCTAGACGACTAAGTACAAGCGTGAAACTATCTTTATTAAAATGAAGCAGTTTCTGTTGTTTGTTGCGAACAAGTTCAGAAAACAACAATTATGTGTAAGTAGAGAAGACATTTAAATGAGATCTCACGTAATTTGTAACTGTACCCACTGGGTCCCACTACACAATTCACTTACTAATAGAGATTTATCTGCCGCTGAACTTGGTAAAGGCGTAGCATTAAGGAGATACGTGCGGTACTAGGATCCCAATTATATCAAAGTTTTTTGGGGACTTTCGATTCAAAAATTAACGTACCAGTTTGAAATTGTGTCTTGCCAGGTATAATTTAAATATAATAATGTTTTGCCAACTGCAGTTAGCCTCTGTCGGAATACATGTAGCTAGAAATATTTATAGCTTCGCTTCTGTAGTGTATCACCATTATCAACAACGGCATGTCGAGGCTAGCTGTGACTTGATACCACAAATATGAGAACAATCGAGAGGTGCTCAACATCGGTGTAACGGGACACACCGACACATTGCGGACAAATTGCAACATTATACTTGTACGGAATTCTGTATCAATCTCCGGTCGTAAAACTTTAATAGATATCAGTAAACGGAAAATTGCCAATTAATGAAAACTTTCAAAACGTAGGTACTAAAAAAACGATAAAAAATAATCCATCACTGATACACTCTAATCACTGTAATGCTTGTTGACACTTCGTATAATATTGATTTATCTATGATAGTGAAAGGTGCACTCGCTTTAATTAACTGCTTTTGATTACATAGCGCCTGCCGGCGTTGCGTAGATTTTACGAAATAGATATTTTTTACCGACTTCATTTCGTTATTTGTATGGGAGTATGTTTTGTCTACCGATAGTGTTTATTGGCAATGGCATTGGAATATGAGTTACTGTTGCGAATATCTTCAATAAGTTACTTTGACATTATCTAGAATTATATCTAGAGGTATACATACAAAAACATCTGCATAGTCAACAAATGTAATATCATTTAATATCGGCACTTTAGTTGATAGCAGCAGCGACACGTAAAGCTTACCATTTAGTGCAGTACTCGTACATTGCATGGCACACGTAATATCATGTGTGTGATCGCACGTAATCGCGTGTCCACATGTTGGGGATGTTTGTACAGATAGCAATAGCGGCTTATGTGCCGGTAACCGCGCCGCCAACGTACCGGTAACGTGCCGCCAACGATACGATCGCTTCATTTCATATTGAATGCTAATCCCGGTAACGGTTGTGTTGCCGTATGTTGACGGGAAATATGTTAAGGGTTTGTTGCCATTTACTGAACACCTGATTGTTTGTTGTATAGTGTTTTGATTGTCCGGTTACTGAAATGTTAGAAGAAAGTAGAATGCTTTTTAAGTTTTAGAACTGCTGCAGCAGATTCTTGATATCGAATCCTTAAATTGTGGTTAGTTGTGTTCCTCAATTTACATTCAAACAAGATAGTTCTGAAGTCTACAAATATGTGTTGTATGTGCAGCAGCTGGTCGGTCGCCTCGTAAGTCGTACGTGCCTCGCCACTAAGTCACATTGCATTGCCTCGCACGCGACATTGTTGGGAACTTGTGTAACAATAATGTTGCTTTGCATAACGTATTTTATTTCCTAAAGGACCAATTTTTCCTTCTTAGATTATTATATTAGAAATCTCATGTAATAGTAACAGCTATTATTGCATTGGACGCGTGCTTTGACTTTCCTGTACTTATTTTGACTACTCATCCTACAAGGTAGAGGTAACAATGTTCACCGAAACAAGTATCAACTCACTGAATGTACTCAGAAAAAATAGCTTGTATCGGAAATAAATATTACAACCATATCGTGCCTGTCCATGCCAACTGATTCATATCGCACTCATTAACCAGTAAACTGTAGTTGTTATTTAGTACATTTTAGATAACTGAATTAACCAGCTAATGTGTAGCCAAAACGTGATTTATGGTGGAATTTATTTTAAACATACTAATATCGATTTATAATAATGTGTGTTTAATACATAATGTTTATGAGCAGTGGTTGAATATGAAAATGAAGCATAATAATTATTGGAGAGAATTATTTACAACACTGAACGTGGATGATAACAATGATAATACTTAAGCTACAGTTAATTTGACTAAATCACTGTGTTTTATTACAAAGCCAACAACTTAGTAATGACCTAGTTAATAACACAGTGAAGCTAATTGTTCCAATAGCAGTTAAAAGTGAGTTAATTAAAAACGCGTGGCGATGTATTAGGCGGGAGATGTCGGCTGGTGTTTAAAGCGGCGGCGGTCGAGTTAATTCCTCCCGTCGTACATAAAGCTGGTACGTGCCTCGTCGCGACCTCCGTAACACAAGTTATAGAGAAGGTACATTCTATACCTATGTTCCGAGAGCCCAAGTTTAGCTTCTCAATACTCTCTAGTTTTAACTCTATAACTGTGCATGTAACGGCTCGACCAACAATATAATATTTTATATATAAAAATAACGATCAGTGAAATAGAGTTGGTCCTAATAGTGATCCTTGAGGAATCCCTCAAGTCACAGGCGTCATTTTAAATGCTAAGGTGAAATCATCAGTATTGCGAATTATAAATTGAAATAAAAGTATTCCCCAAATACGAGGACTCGCCACAACATCATTAATGCTATCTGTGTACTTCAGACGGACCTTCTGCACGGAACCGCGGAAGACCTAACGGGTATCCGGGGCTCCGGCTCGAAGAGCAGAAGTAAAAACGGGGTGGTGTTTAATCAGTTTGAGTCTGATGATCCCTGTCACCTAACTCAAGGCGGGAGAAATGAGTGGACGATTTTCCTCACTCAAAAAAAAAGACGGGCCTTCTGCAATATGTCTACAGTTGTGCGCGCTCTGTGATCCGACTCAATCTGTGAGCATCAGGATCAACACGATTCTGTGTTTGCGAGGGATTGTGTACAGCCGCTAGTCCGCTACTCACTGCTAATTAACTCGCTTATCTTCTTCTAAACCGTCTCACAATGTATTGATTTCTTACAATGGCTGGTTTTTAAGTAAGTCTTTTAAAGGTTTATACATGCATTCATACCATTTACTTACCTACATACATAACTAAACAAACATTGAAAGTTTTTTTATGACATAAACCGGGAAACGAGCAGACGGATCTCCTGATGATAAGCAAACGGTGTCACTCATGGACACCTGGAACACCAGATGCGTTACAAGTTCGTTACCGGCCTTTTGGGTAATAATCCTCATTTAAGGATTATTGGGCATTATTGGGGATTCAGCCCTTTAACCTCACTCTCACGACAAAACACAACGCAAGCGTTGTTTCACGT